GGGGAAGCGGATCTTCTGGTGTAGAGCAGATGTGATGGCTTCGATCTTGTTGATCCATGGTCGGCCCAAAATCCCGTTGTAAGGAGAGACCTCGTCGATGACCATGAAGGTTTGCGAGCAGACCACTGGGGGTGAGCGGACGTCTAGGTCAATTATCCCAAGAGTGATTGACGTGGCCCCATTGAAGCCGGTGAGTGATCTGGCAAGTTTGCTGATCTTGGGCTCCAATCCCATCTGTTGGATAACAGATAGTTGTAGGATATTGGCTGCGCTGCCCTCGTCCACATGAACTCGCTCGATCACAGCTTGTTCAATTTGGATGCAAATTACTAGGGCGTCATTGTGCGGCAAATCAAGCCCGATCAAGTCCTTCTTCCGAAAGCCGATGATGGGCGTATCTGCAATGACTGGTACGCCCGTTGTGACTTGGGAGACATAAGTCGCCTGCGCGATCTTCCTCTTGCGCTCCTTGGTGGTCAGCCCGGACTCCTGGGAGTCAGCTAGAATGGTGTTGATCCGTATGACCTTTTGGGGAGGTTCCTTGGCAGCCGCATCACGATCCTCGATCTGCTGGATGGCCTTCTTTGCAACGAATTCTGTGCAATAGTCGTCTCTGACCAGCTCCTCAAGGTGCCTTTTCCAGGCGTTGCAGTTGTTTGTGTAATGACCATGCTCCCCATGGAATGCGCAGTACTTACTGGCATCCCTCTTAGACGGGTCTCCCCTCAGGGGCGGCGGTCTCCTCACCCACGGCTTGTCCTTCACTTGTGCCAGGATCTGGTGGATTGGGATAGTGAACTCAGTGAAGGTTCCTGTTTCCGAGCCTCCCTCTTGGGGCCGCGATCTGCGCTTGTCTCGGGCTTTGTTCTCGAACTTGTTACTCTTTTGGCTCGCCTGCTTGGGCGGGTGATCAGCTTGCTTGCTGGCTTTCTTCGCAGCAATACGATCATCATCCCAAAGTGCGTAGCGCTCTGCCGTCGCGAAGACCTCTGCCAAGGTTTGGCTTGGAGTTATGGCCAGCTCACGATACAGCTCATGTTCGGTTGGCAAGCCCTTCTTGAAAGCTGAGGATGCAACTTGGTCATTGCATCCTATGATGTTCGCCTTCTCAGCCTTGAACCGTCTGAGGTAGTCTCGAAGAGACTCATCTGGTTTCTTGTGCAGGTTGAACAAGTGGTCTGCATGCTTTCTGACCGTCTTGTAGGAGGTGTA